AGGCCCCTTCCCCGCCGGCGGGCGGCCGCGGTCACGCTTTAACCTGCCCTCGCCGCCCTGCGAGAGCAACTCCCTTTGCAGAGCGGGCAGGCAGCCGCGGGAGGAGGCCTGCTAGCAACGGCCGCGCCGGGGAGCAAAGTCCGAGGTCGAAAAACACCTGTGTTTGCCGGTGGTGCTCTGCCATCGCCCTTCCCTGCCATGGACTAGGCATGTGCCGAGAGAACAGGGGAGGTGGTGCATTTGAAGAGGTTAACAGAGACGCTGTAACGAGAAAAACCTCAGAAAGTGAACTTTTTTGCAGCCCCCTTCTTCAAAGAGCTCCTCTGGTGAAATACCGCAGAAGAAAACGAGCACAACTTCCAACGCTCTCAGTAAAGTTGCCATCATTGCTTTATTGATTCCAAATCTGATGGGAAAAATAGTTTAATTTACCCATGTTTTTACTCCCCCTACATTGTACACAGCAGGCAGTACTAATTAAATTACACGTTTTTGTGCAAGACCTTAGTTCTTGATTTGTACCTCTACTGCAAAGGCTTCTTTGAGATTTAAGCACCAGTATGTGGTGGGAACACGGAGAAGAACCACTCGGCACATTGGAAAAGGTGTGCTGGGAAAAGAGAGAGGAGTGCTTCTAGACAACCAAGAGGTATCCTGCTCCTCAGTTACAAAGCCACTGCACTCTGCAAGTGGTTAGAGCTGCAGTACTTGTGGCTAACTTGCTCGCAGTGGTGCAATCAGCACCCAGGACAGGTTTTTTAAGCAGAGCAACTAGTTTCCTCTAACTAAAGATTTCGCTGATAGAGGCCTATGGGATCAGGCTGCACCTCTGCCTGAAGTTCCTGGTTCGGTCCTGACTCAGCAGAGAAGGCCAACAGGTCTAGCGTTTCTCTTTCCGAGAAGGATGGGTGGCACGCAGCCCATGACCAAGATTTGGAGACAGAGGCTTGTATTCGCAGCTGTCATTTATATCTTCAGGCTGCACAATACTAGCCTAGTAACAGCAGCTCTGCCAGGCACAGAGTGCAGCTGTGGCAGCGTGTGGGTGGCATCCAGCTGTGCTCCCGGTCAGTATAAGGCAGAAAGACTGTTTCCCCTGGGGTATCCCCCTCTCCAGTCCCGGGGAGAGAGCTGGTGAACAGGGGAGGGAAACAGACCAAGCTGTAACAGACGAAGTAATTTAAGGCTGGAGCTTAGCTCCTGGCTTCAGCCCTGTAGCAGATTCCTGGCCACAATCATCCGCATCACCTCATTCGTACCTGCAGCACGATGAGGGGGCAAAAGAAAGACAGTTAGAAGATGGTCTGATTCTGCCCCCAATGAAGGAAAAGAGAATTCTTCCCTGAGCTGCCGTTCAAAGCACAGAAAAGCTCTTCCCACCAATTGAGGTGGCATTTAGGAGGTGCTGGGCCAAAATACAACAATTGCGGTGGCATTTAGGAGGTGCTGGGCCAAAATACAACTGCCAAGTGCCAGCACATTGCTCGGTAAAGGTTTCAGAGTGGTAGGTGCTGGTGCTTCTTTTTATTTGGGCATTGAGAGGATGCAGGCACCAGGCATCAAGCAGAACTGGGTATATGTATATGGTATATATACCATTCTATGATTCTATATACCAACATCTGAGTTCTCCACTTTACGATTTAAAACATATACAACACACAGAAAGAAAAACTGTAGACCCACTCGGTATTGGAAAGATTATGTCTCTTATCAGGTACCCTGGTTGTAGGTGAAGGGATTTCAAAGGAGGGAAAACAAAATGGTTAGGAGGCTGAATTGAGATTAGAAAAGGCCAGATACGGTTAGAGACACAATGTCAAAGAGTGAAGATAGACTGGAATCACAGGAAGGGAATTGTTGGGGAGCGTCAGCACGTGTCTGTAGGGGTAATGGGATGAAACCGGACAGAGGCACTGCTAACATGACAACTAGATATCCCCCACTGCTGTAAGACTCTTAAAATACACAGTAACCGCTCCAGTACACCAAGAGCTCTTGGCCAGGGGATTCACACATGTGACATCCAAGGACACCTCATGCTCAGAGCAAAATGGGATTCTGAACCCAAGAGTCAGAGAGTTATGTGGGAAGGCGGGGGCCTCCAGAGGGTCTGTTCTCTCCTGGCTTCACTGCCAAGTCACCGGTAGTAAAAGTGCCTTTTACCTTCCAGGATCTGGTGGACTCTAATGTCTCGCACAAACTGCTGCACAGCATAATCCTTCAGGTAGCCGTAGCCCCCGTGCATCTGTAGAGCCTGGTTACAGATCTAAGAAGATAACATCGCTGGTGAAGTGACTTGCTGGTGTTGAGGACAAGCCAGTGACAGAAGCTTGGTAAGAACCCAGGAACCTGGGCTCTTTTTTTTTTTTCTGGTCACCTAATGTCATCTCTTAAAGTGTGGTGTGATGGCAAGGCACTCTCTGTCCCCATCAGTGCTGCTCTCGGTGCTATCGTGTTACCTAAGCGCTGTTTCACCTTAATGGTGCATTTATGTGAACGTGATAGCACCAAAATACCCAGGAAACGCTTTACTTAACTAAGGCAATTGTTGCTGCATTTCCATGGTGCTACTGGTGCAAAAAGCAAAACGCCAGATCACCATCTAGCGGCCAGTCGGTCGAGGAATCTGTTCAGGGCTCTGGTTTCTACTGAAACATGACTCCACACGTCATTACCTGTCAACTTGGGACACAAAACATAACAAATAGCAAAAATGCAGAGTGCTGAGAAAATACGGTAGCTTCTAAATGACGCTGATCTAGGAAGTGTCAAGGTGTAGATTTCCTTTTCCTTTCTTTTTCTCCCTTGTTGCTTTCTCTTTTCAGGGACATTTTGGGATAACGTATTCTTCAGTGGTCTAGGAAAGACCACTTGCTACCTAGGAATGATCAGCCTGCAACATGCATATTATCCTTTGAAAATAAAAATGCTCTGCTCCCTGTCCTGTCTCCCCGCTTGGTCCCCTAGAAAGTAGTGTAGAAAGCACTAGTGGCCAGGAGGCCTGAACTGTGGCAAGGCTGATACTGCAGCCTGCACAGGGTGCAGAATTCTGTCTCCTAAAACATCCTGGTCCTGAAATGAGGCTTCTGGCTCAGTGAACATGCTTGGGTCTGGTCCCTACAGTCTCAAACTTCTTTCTGAAATCCTGGGCACCAAGAGGCGTCTCCAAGCTTGCAGTTATGTTGCCAGCTGAGGTTTAAGTAACTTACCGCAAAGCATTCATCAGTAGCAAAGAGCTTGGCCATGGAGCACAGCACAGCCGCGTCCTCCCGTCCCTCCTGCAGTGCCCGCGCTGCATTGCGAACCATGAGCCGTGCTGCCACCAGGCGCGTCGCCATCTCTGCCAGCCTGAACTGCAGGTACTGCCAGCAGGCAGCACGAGAGGAAAAATTAGGACAGCATCTTTGGAGGGGCCTGGGTCCTGAACCACATCCCCGCTACCTTCAGGCAGGTCTCAGGCCTGACACGCTTTCTTACTCAGGAAAAGCACGTTCCTGACTTCTCCAGGGAAGACCCTGTGAAGTGAGTGATGGGACCTCTGGCTGCTTGTTCAGCCAAGATCAGAAAGAGCACAGCTCTGGGACTGCAGATCTGGTGGAGAGGTTACCTGATTGTTTGCTAGGGGTTCTCCAAACTGTTTGCGGACAGCGAGATGTTCCTGAGCCAGAAGAACAGAGGCGTGAGCAGCTCCTAACGAACAAGAAGCTGGTGGGAGAAGCCAAGGACATAGCGTGAATATGAAGCTAACGCAGACAGGCAACAAGATGATCCTGCCCTCCTCCCTTTGCTCTCAGCTGTCTTTCTTACCAATATTTATCCTGCCTCCATTCAGTCCCTTCATGGCAATGTTGAAACCCTGCCCTTCTGCTCCCAGCCGGTTGCCAAGAGGAACAACGCAGTCCTCAAAGATCACAGCCCGAGTTGGCTGGGAATTCCAGCCCACCTGGAAAAAAAACAGAGCATCTTCCAGACTGCCTGAGGAGCAGCACACCTCCAGCTCCCAGCAGAGAACCGCCCAGCCTGCTCTCAACCCCTCGGCCTCGTTGCCAAGCTGCCGCAGAGTGCCTGTGGTCTATGTGGTTTGGCCTTAGCGTGCTGAGTTGGGAACTGGAATGCATGTATTTGAGAAGAGGCACAGATCCAACGAACCTTGATGTTCCCGAGATGAAAGTCCTTCACTTACCAAATGGACAGGTATTGGGCAAACTTCACCAAAGCTGGACTTGGCTTAGAAAAACCATGCCAGGCTGGGACTCATCTCTGTCCTGCACTTCCCTCAAGCGCGCAGGAAGTAAAAACCAAGCCTCTTACCTTCTTCTCTTTCTTGCCAAAGCTGAGCCCTGGTGTTCCCTTCTCCAGCACCAGGCAGGAGATGCCCTTGGGGCCTGGGCCTCCTGTGCGACACATGACCACGTACACATCGGTGTCACCTGCCCCACTGATGAAGGCCTGCCGAAGGGCACAAGAAGAAAGGGGTGGCTTTCATACGCTAACCCCAAGCCTGCAGCAGCAGCCAGGGCACAAAGACGGAGGGGAAAAGACCCCACGGCCAGGAGGTATTTAGGGACCCAACTGTACTAAGCTCTGGCGAACGCTCTGCAGAGCACGTCCTACTTTGGGAGAATACACAGGGATGAGGAGACAGTAGGAAATGGAAAGGAGGGTGAGACCCAGGCCCCCTTGTGCATGCAGTGCCATCCAGCAGCTTTAGGAGGAGCAAAGAGGTACCTTGGAGCCATTCAGGACGTAGGCGTCCCCTTTCCTCTGAGCTGCGGTCAGCAGGGAAGCTGCATCACTTCCACTTCCTGCTCGGGAGGTAAGGAAGCAGCAGTGAAGCAGCAGGTCTGGAGCCTGCAAACTCTCCCGGGGATCGTACCCAACAACACTCGGGTTTGCCCCATGAGCATCTCGGCAACCACCATCTGCCCCTTCCCAACTTCCCAGTGATTGCCCAGATGAACATGAAAATAAACTTTTCGCCTCCAGCTCTGTGCAATGTTCATGTCCAGTTAAATGATGTTAGGAGCGAGGGAAGGGAGAAGGTTTCTTGGTTGAGGATGCTCACCTGGCTCAGTAAGGCAGTAAGAAGCAAATTTTTCCATGCTACAGAGCGACGGGCAGAACCTGCGCCTCTGTTCCTCATTGCCAAAGGTGTCGATCATCCAAACACACATGCTGGAGCAGGAGAGAAGGAGCAGCATTACAGTACGTGAACACAGCCCTGGGAGCAAGGCAGGTCACACAAGAACATCCCTGGCTGAACAGAAGAACAAAGCTCCACGGAATGCAGTCCAAACACCCAGGCTTGAAAGCGTATTGCTCCACCTCTGCTGTAGGTTATCTGAAGTAGCCTCGGAGGCAGCCCTCCTTCCACCTGTCCCCACACACACTGAAAGGGAACAAAATTACAGGCCACAGAAGCTGGGAGGAAGGAGATCGCCTTCCATTCCCCACAGACTCACTGCCTTGTGGAACAGCAGGTTCCTATTTAACAGCCTCGGTGTTCCCTTCAGCGCTAAACCCTACTGTCTCTTTGGAAAACTGCACCTGGAAGAAGGAGGCATCATTGCTCCATCTTTCCGTGCAAAGTGAGCCCATCACTGAACATGTCTGTACAAGCAGGACAGGGCCCCGGCATCAGCTGGTGCCTGTGGGCTCTGTCACAGTAAGACCAAAGCACAGAGGCTTTTCCCAGGCAGGTTACTATCTATAGACAGCTTAAGTGGAAGAGCAGGGAACAAAATCCAGAACTTAATCCCATCTTGCATGCCACCAAGCTAAAATTATTTCTTGGTGGCATCTCGATTTTTGTGGCCTATTTGTCTACTGCTGTCAAGAGATCCTCACGGGGACGTGTCTACTTGGGGTCCCAACTTTAAACAATAAGCAGCACCAAGAGAGCTGTCTCCAGCTGCATTTATAGCCCAGAGAAAAAATGTGGGTTTCAGTCAGGCTGACAGCATCCACCGCTCCGCAGAGACACTCACTTGTGGATGCTCATATAAGCAGTGGTGCTGGTACATCCTGTTGATAAAGCTTCAAAGATTATGGAGGTATCGAGTCGTGACAATCCAGAGCCACCGACATCTGGTTTCACATAGATCCCACCGAATCCTAGCTGGGCTGCCTTCCGCATTGTTTCCACAGGGAATATTTCCTATTGGGACAGACAGAGACATCGCAAGTGAATATTCATGATCAATTCAATCTCGATATTCAATCTCTTCCTTCTGGTTCACCTGGGCTACCCAGTCCAGTCCCAAACTCCTGCAGAGTTTAAGTTAATTGGGTGGGTTAAAGAAGAGGCAGCTATCTAGACAGATACATATCATCTTCAGGTTGTCAGATGATTGAACAGCCTGGCTAGGAAGGCTTCAAGGTATTTCTGATGGCTTCCCACCCCAGGTACAGCAGCAGCTTCAAAGAAAATCTCTACAGATGGCATTGCAGCACTGAGGAGCTATTGCAGGAACCCCTCTGGTGAGACCCAGGGATAACAGCGTCCTAAGGGAGGAAAAACCGAGCAGTACAACCCTTCTGAGGCTGTCGTACCTTTTCATCCCACTCAGCCATGTGCGGAGCCATCTCCTTGCTAGCAAAATCAAGGGCAACTTTTTGGAATTCCTTCTGCTCCTCAGTCAGGCCGGCGGATGCTAGAGAGGCAGGGAGAGATGAGAATACGCGTCTGTTGCGGGAAAGCAAGCACCAGCACCTCTTCCATACCCCAGACAATTTCAAAGTGTCCCTTAACTCACACAAAGAGCTCAGAGTCTCTGACAGAGGGCAGTGGGCTTTGGGAGGGGGCTTTCCTAGGGCAAAACAAACGCGAGGTCCCAGCTATCTCTCTCTACTCAACGCTAGTTATGGACAGGAGCAGCACAGTCCACAGCAGCCGCACTCCGTCTCACTAGGTCTGTGCTGCAGAAATACAAGGACACAGCCCTGGGACTTCAAAGAAGTGACACTAGGAAGCAAGCAATGAATACAGCAGCCCTGCGGAAACAGCATCTAAAGTTTTAGTCACACCCTCCGTTTGAAAACTCCTGCTTCATTTGCACATAGATCCAACATCGTTTTGTTAGTTCCTCTCCTAAAATTCATAGGGATGCTGCCGTTTCAATCCTAAACGTGGTTACATTTAAACATGGAAGCGATTCATCTGGGAAGCGTTGGGGAACGCTGTAGGAGGAGTCCGGCTCAGACACAGCTGTTATCCCGGTCACCAGCGATCAGAAGATGACTTCAGTCCCAGGACAACCCGACTCACGAACGGGCAGCCCATCTTCCGCAGTGTTTCACCAAGATATTCTCCGGTTCACAGCCAAGCTGAAAACCCGTGAGGACCCAGCAGAGGTACGGGGGAGGGGAAGGAGCTTCTCCCGGCAGGTGGGCACGGTCCGGCCCGGCATGCCACCGCAGGGCCGGCGCAAGGGACAGCTCCCTCCCGGCGGGGACAGGAGGCCCCAGCTCCCCGACCCGCTGCCGAGCCTCCCCGGAGACCCCCCCCCTCCCCCCGGCCGCGACGGCGG